GAGAAAGCTTTCATCAAATAATATGCCACGACTTTTTGTAGCATCTTGTCGTACTCGGGAAATGATATCATCGATCTTTAATATGGTAAGATATTTATTTTATGACCGAACTGATTAGGCAAAATGACCGTGAAATATATTCCATTTGTCTTTAGTTAGATTCGAGCAGAGGAGATGATGAACTAGCTCAATTAATCAATGATATTACTGAGAAACCTCTACCTCATTCTTTGTATTCTGGGTATGCAGTCATTCCAGAGTTTGARGCAGCTGAATCAGAACAATCGATAGAGTTCATTCAAGATAATTTGTCAGCTAAATCTCGACAGATCTGGTTCGTTTTTTCGGGGATGGGATCACAATGGACTGGAATGGGTATAAAAATTTCTTCTTTTTTTTATTCTATACCTAAATAATTAAAAAACAAGATGTTACATCGTATCTATTAAATGTAAAATTCTCTTTCAGGTGAATCACTGATGAAGATACCAATRTTTGCAGAATCAATAAAAAAATGTGATGTAGTTTTAAGACCTCGTGGTTACGATATTGTKCATATTATATGCGATAAAGATTCAACTATATACGATAATATCATAAATTGATTTTTAGGAATAGCGGCAATACAAGTAATAATATATATGACATCACTCCGTTAACAGCATAGATTCTTTCTTATTTTTCTATAAATGGTTCTGTATAATTATTACGTAGATCGGTCTGGTAGATATCCTATATGCAGTTGGCATTAAACCGAATTACATGATCGGGCATTCAGTGGGTGAGCTGGGTTGTTCTTATGCAGACGGTTGCTTTACTGCTGAGGAAATAATTTTAAGTGCTCTCTCACGAGGTTTAGTTTCGGTAAAAAGTGACTTGATACACGGAACGATGGCTGCAGTTGGTCTTGGCTACAAACAGATTAAAGATCTTATACCCGAAGACATTGACRTTGCATGTCAYAAYGGAYCAGAAAGCTCTACGATAAGTGGACCTACCGAATCTATAAATTCTTTTGTGAAAGAATTACAAGTAATGCTTGGTAGATTTTTTAATATAGACAATTTTACTAATAAATTTAAAAAAATATCACATTTTTTATTTTTAGAAAAAAGGAATATTTGCTAAAGTCGTTCCAACTAGTAATATTGCTTTTCATAGTCGTTACATTGCCCCAGCTGGTCCAAAGTTGTTGGAATACTTAGAAAAAGTCATCTCTCAACCAAAAAATCGCAGTAAACGTTGGATTTGCACGTCTATTCYGAAAAACAAGTGGCATTCAATAAAAGCTAGCTTCTCTTCACCGGAATATCATACAA